TGCGCACGGTCAGTGTGCCGGCACAGCCTTTGCTGGATGTCCCGGGGAGCAGGTCTGCGCACAGTGCGGGTAGGTTAGAAAGCCCAGCGCCCAGATCCTCGGCTCCAGCACAGGGCCCGGCGGAGGAAGCAGGCTGGTTCTGACTCACGTGTTTGGAAGACGTGGGGAGCACAGCCCTCAGCACGCCGCACCCACACGCACATATGTGCCGTCCAGAAACTGCTGCCCAGTCACTCTCTTGCCCTCCCAGGAAAGTGAAGAGAATGCCCCTGCCTACCTGGCGTTCGGCTGCCTCGGGCTGCCCGCGCCCCGGATGTCCTCCCTTGACCCACTCGAAGGCCGGCACTGGAGCCAGGACAACTGCAGCCTCTCGCAGGGCCTGGCCAGGGTCTGGGACTGGCATTGCCTCTCCCGCCTGAAAGCTGCCCCAGAGCCTGTGTGGACAGGCTGGGAGAAGAGAAATGTGCACATCGCCGTGCGGGCCTGCAGGAAGCACACCCGGCTGCTAGGTCTGCCCTGCGGCCACTGCTTTGTTAGAAGTCAGTCTGGCCTGGCCGGTTAGCGGCTGAGCATCAAAGTTAGCGGCTGAGCATCAACTTATGAACCAGGAGGTCACGGTACAATTCCCAGTCAGGGCACATGCTCAGGTTGTGGGCTCGATCCCCAGCAGGGGGCGGGCAGGAGGCAGCTGATCAATGATTCTCTCTCATCATTGATGTTTCTCTCTCTCTCTCTCCCTTCCTCTCTGAAATCAATAAAAATATTAAAAAAAAAAAAAGAGGAAGAAGTGAGTCTGGCCCTTGGTTCTCGGTCAGCTTCTGCAGGTCTTGCATGTGCACAACTGTCATGTCCTGTGCCTTTCCTAGTCGGCAGAGACCTGGACTGATTCTGAACCACTTCAAGGGCCTGCACTGGGCCATTTGGGAGCTTTGTTTGTTGCTCTGTTTTAACCCAATGGAAGGAATTAGGACAATAAATGATGACTGCCAGATGGCTAATGCAGGGTTATATTCTACATGTTAATAAGAATATATAGAACTAGAGGCCCGATGCACGAAATCTGTGCAAGGGGCTTGGCCCTCGCAGCCCCGGCTTCGTCTGGACAGTTGTCCGGAAGGACATCCAGAAGGTCATTTGGCTGTCTGGTCTAATTAGTATATTATGCTTTTATTATTACAGATAGCAATGCTAATTTTACATAAAACACAAGCAAATAGTATATGTGTACACGCTTTGGGTAACTAAATACACTGTTTTAAAAACCATGAAATGGAAGATTATTCCGTCTTTTAAAGGAAGGAGACTCTGACACATGCTACAACAAGAATGAATTTTGATGACACGATGCTCAGTGAAACAAGCCAGTTCATGAAAGGACAAAAACTGTGATTCCACTCACCTGAGGTCCCAGAGTCATCAAATTCGGGGACAGAAAGTAGAATGGAAGTTGCCAGGGGACAGGAGGGCGGGGCGCTGCTGCCGTGGGGAGAGCTTGACTGGGAGGATGAGAAGGGCCTGGAGATGGAGGGTGTGAGGGCTGCACAGCTCTGTGAGCGGACTTTGCCACACTCCCCTGTGAACTGAAAATGATTAACATGGTACATTCACGTGATGTACATTTTACCTCAATTTAAAAAATTCATAAAAACGGCAAGCAAACTCACACACACAGAACATGTATTTAAATATAGCCATATTAACAGCCACTATCATAGCCATAAGACAGGCGTGGCCAGGCGTGGGGAGGGAAGGCGTGCTTGATGCTTAACACTCGCTTGGACACAGTTACTAAGGCTAATTTATTTGCAGGAGCAAATGGTGCCTGAATCTTGACAGGGTTCTGATTTTTTTTAAAAAGAGGCAGCCGCCTTGTAAGTGGCTCACTCAGTGGTCACCCTGACCTTAGCTCACGAGTGTGTAGTGGACACTGTCAGACGAGGGTCGCCTGCTCACGTGCCAGAACCTCCCGCACGCTGGGCTGGCGGTCACGTGGACAAGGCCAAATCGTCTTTGTACAGAGGCTTCGATGAAGTGTGCTGTATTTAACACCTTATTTAAGCTTATTTAACCTGAAGTTGTTAATTTTATGGACACGGTATGGCCCGAGCCCTGAGAGGGCATGCGGGAGGCCGCCAGCTCCGAGGCGCTGGGCTTGCCCGGCCGGACAGAGACCAGGCCGCAGGCTAACCACCGGAGGCTGCTAGAGATGACCTTTGTATTGCTTTCTCGTTTTTAATGGTTCCTTTTGAGATGAACATCCATTTTGCTTTTTTAATAAATGTTTGAATGAGTCCACACAAAAAAAATTATATAGCCATATTAGAATGTTGTAAACTGTCTTTTTTTTTTTTGGACAGAATATTGAATTTCTGACTGTTTACTCCTATAAAGTGGATACATTCTTATAAATCAGTGGTTCTCAACCTTCCTAATGCCACGACCCTTTAATACAGTTCCTCATGTTGTGGTGACCCCAAACCATAAAATTATTTTCGTTGCTACTTCATAACTGTAATTTTGCTACTGTTATGAATCGTAATGTACATATCTAATATGCTATATGTGTTATCCGATGGTCACGACCCACAGGTTGAGAACCACTGAAATCAAAGTGAAATCAAATGCCGTTAGCAGTGTAAACCTCAACCGCAGCCATGCTTCTTGCGCTCTAACTCTCGAGAAAGCAGCGTTTAGCATTTCCGTTATATTTATTTCTGAGCTGAAGTCAACAGTTACTGCAGGTCAGCAATGTATTGAAGAGCAGTTTAGAACGAGTTTGGGGTCTTACTGTAATGTGCAGGCTGCGGAAGTGGGGGCGACAGCCCACCCCAGCCCACTGGGCGCACCTGTTGCTCTGGCTGGGTCATAAACTCACGGGGCTGCAAGAGCCAGCTGAGGGCAGCGATGTGCGCATGCTCTGTGGCCCCGCTCACTGGGAATCCGCCTCCCCAGCCCAGTCAACACCAATGGAAGCTGAAAGGGAAAAACTAGCATTTCAAGTGAAGCGAACAGAAAACGTTCTCTGGGGAAAGATGGCCATAATGGTGAGGGACTGTGGGAGCCATGAGGAAAGGCAAAGGGATTCGTGTAGCCAAGACTGGAAAATGCTGGCAGAGGGGTGCCTGAAAGCCAGCTATTGGAAAGGCTCAGACAGACCAGCTCCTCTCGCAGCTGCAGATGGCAGCTCTGAAACCAGCAGGTGGTGGCCACAGAGGCACTTTCCTAGTCTCTGCAATACAGCAAGACTCCAGGGGTTGAGATCCAGGGGTTGAGATCTGGGGGTTGAGACCTGAGGGTTGAGACGTGGGGGTTGGACTCTGGGGGTTGAGATCTGTGGGTTGAGATCTGGGTGTTGGACTCCGGGGGTTGAGATCCGGAGGTTGAGATCTGGGGGTTGGACTCCAGGGGTTGAGATTTGGAGGTTGAGATCTAGGAGTTGAGATCTGGGGGTTGAGATCTGGGTGTTGAGATCTAGAGGTTGAGATCTGGGGGTTGGGCTCCAGGGGTTGAGATCTGTGGGTTGAGACCTGGGGGTTGAGATCTGGGGGTTGGACTCCAGGGGTTGAGATCTGGAGGTTGAGATCTGGGGGGTTGAGATCTGGGGGTTGGACTCTGGGGGTTGAGATCTGGGGGTAGAGATCCGGGAGCTCATACACAGCCAGGGGGACCCTGCAGCCCAGTTTCTGAGCTGGGTGCTGCCTGGAGAGCCCCAAGAACCTGTGGGGCAACATTTGGTGTCAAAGGCTGGCCCACCCCCATGGCTCTGGCCTGAAGGCTCCTCAGACACCACCTGCTCTACCTCTGAGGTGTGACTTGCCCAGGACCACAGTGGCTGGTGGAACCAGAGACCAGGTTCCCCGACACCTCGTGATAACATGTTACTTCTCAAGCCTCCCCTGGCCTGTTGAGCCGTGTGTTGCTTTGTAACCCCTTCTTGCTGCAGCCCATTTAACTGCATGGGCACATTTCTCCGTCCATCAATTCACTCTCTCACTCAGCCACCGGGACAGGCAGTGTGAGTCCACAGCCTCTCCAGTCTGGTCAGGTGTGTCAGCCTAAGTACCCCCTCTTCATCCCTAACATGCGAATGAACCACCCAATACCAATGACGTAGAAATGTAAAAAGAGCAGCCACGTTTCCGCCCCAGGGTTTTCTGCAGGAACAGTCAACCCTGGGCTGGTTCCTGGTTTTGCTTCTGTGCGTGGTGGTGCAGCAGCAGGCAGGGAACCGCCTGTGGGGCAGAGCTCTGGCTTGGTGTGCCTCAGCCATAAGACAACCACCCAACACCCTGTCGCAGTTTCTTCACCTTGAAATATGGATGACTCGTGCACCTCCCCCTACCAGCCCGAGCACAGAACAGTCAGCCTATGTCAGCTCACCCTGTGCTCAGGGCAGGGCCAGGCCTGGATGAGAGAGAGAGAGAGAGAGAGCGCGCGAGCGAGCCCAGGACAGTGCTGGGAGGGGCCAGGTCTGGGTGAGAGAAAGAGCCCAGGACAGTGCTGGGAGGGGCCAGGCCTGGGTGAGAGAGAGTGCCCAGCAAAGTCACTCCACAGAAATTCCCAGACCTTCTATGAACAGGGTTCTAAGAGGAAAATCAACATTTAAAAGGTGAAATTTTTTAAAGGTTCTATTCCTTGAATACATTGAGGATTAGAAATGCAAGGGCAGGAGGCTTACTGAAGAGTGTTTAGCTAAAAGGTAAAGAATGTCAGAAGTAACCAGAAACCTCCATTGACCCCTCAGGGCACAATGTATCTGAAGGGGTTTTCAAGGAGCAACCTAAGAGTGTGCGGGAGATAAACTGAGAAGTGGGTCATTTAAAATTTGGTAAAGTAACAAAACCCTTAAGGGGTGCCGTGAAAATCCTGTCGGTACCGGGAGGAGCCCCAGGCATGGAGGCGTGAGTTCTGGAACTTCGTAGGCTAGGCACCACCGGGCGAGTGGACACCCTCCCTTTATCAAGAGAATTTTATTTTTTAAAAAAATAACTACAGAAAGGACAAAGAATTAAAAGAATTTTAATAAAATCAAGTTTACATTTGTACATCTTGTGTATTTGGGACCCAACCAGGGGCAAAGGATAGAGTTGCAAGGACAATGGTTTCCATAGGAGAGCGAGCAGAAAGCAAGGGCTGCCCCAGCTGTGTGACAGGCATCGCTCAATGGTGTGACCGAGGCCCCTCCCTCCAGCACAGCGTCCCAGGGCTGAGCCAGGCCCGTGCCGCACAGCCTACACACCCCCTGTTAATTCTCGACAGGAACAGCAGATACACAGGCCATAAAATTAGACAGTCTTGCCCACAGAACATAAAATGACAACCGAGTTCAGTTCATGCTGTTTAACTAGAATGGTTACACAGAACCTGGAGGGAAAAGGGGCTGAGTGGTGCTCCCAATTGCTCTGTCTGACAGCACGGTCACAACACAGCAGGCCTGTCGAAAGAACATGTATTTCTTTTCAAAATATGATTTGAGGAAAGAGCCTTGTGGGAGTTCGAGAAAGATTAGAGAAAGGTTTTGAAAACAGGAGACAATTCTGCAGTGTCACAGAATTCTGCCTGTCTTCGAGGATCTGGGAGAGCTGGAAAACTGTTCAACTCCAATTCCCATTATTCTAAAGGAAAAAAAAATTTCAAAGTATTGATCAATGTGCAGGGAAAAAAGAGACGAGTGGCCCCAAGTTAGAAATGAGCAATCACAAGACGTTTTCAAGATTTTACCCATTCTGAGTAGAAACAGTGCTTTGCAAAGTGCATATTGCATGGACTAGCCACCTGTTCTTTGAGGAGTAAATCCAAGCACACAAGTTGAACGGTGATATGCACAGTAATATGGTGATTCTGCAAGCCATCCGCAGGGCAGCTCCTGGCCGGGCTTTGTGTCCACCCCGAGTAACAGCACATGGCCGAGTTGCAGGCAGAATTCCTTCATTATCTCTTGTTGAGCTCACCGAGATTTAGTTAGGAAAGAAAGCGTGGATGCCTTTGCGTTCTTGGCCCAGTTGGCATCACAAAGGAAAAGGAACGCCGACCACTGCTAGTGCAGAAGACGTTTTTAAAGACTGGAGTGGGCTCTTCATCCCCCTCCGTAAGGCTGAGGCTGAGGGAGGCGTGTTCCAGGTGCTCTTCTCACAGACGCTGATGCTTGCTTGCAAGCCTTGCATGGGGTACAGTGTCTTTATTGTTCATTCCTAACAGAATCAATCACCAAAATGAAGAAATCCGAGAGGGCAGTGCAGTCACCACAGAACGAATCTGCAGTCTGGGACCGACAGGCATTCATTTCCCTGTGAGCAGGAGACCTCAGAGCAGGCATGTAAAGTGCTGGAGGTAAGGCAGCGGGCTGGGCTTCCTCTAAGGGTGTGGCATGACCTGCAGGGAGGGTGCCACCTCCCCACGTGCAACGGCAGCGCCGCCCATGCCTGCCCAGCTGAGCGTGAGGGGAAGCCGGCCTCGCCTGAAAATACGCTCGGTTTGTGCTCATTGTTTCCCTTTTAACTTCCCGAGTGTTCAATAGGAGGTACATTTAACAAGAAAAACATCCCTAACAAATAAGACAGATGATTTTCTAAATAAGGGAAATATTACAAAGATAATATAACTTCAAATAAAAATGTTTAGTCAAGCACATTGACCGTGGAGTTTCAGGCCAGCACACAGGGGCCCTGTCCCCATGGTTCCCTGTCTCTGCCGTCGTCCAGATGGGCAGGCAGCCCCTCTCTCAGCCGTCATCAGTTTCGTAGTGGTGTTCACTTGCTAGAAGCCAGAAGGGAAGCAGCAGGGAACGGACACACCTCCCAGGCCAGCCAAGGGCAAGAGCAGAGGCCCGAGGTCATCGGGAAGCAGCCACTGTGTCGTCGACGGAGCACGCACCATGTGGGAGGAGAAGTGCGACGTGAAACCTGCCCGCACAGGACCCTGCCCTGGCCACTCGCCGGGCGGGAGAGGTCACCTGCTGCCACCTAAAGCCACTGTCCGGGCAAGTGTGTGCCTGACGTGGGTGGGCGCCAGCCTGTGGGGGTGCACCCGGAAGGCTCACTTATCCGTCCAAGTGGACAACCGCGTGTCTGGGCGGGCGAACGAGCACGTCTCTCCTTTTGGGTTTCCTGTTTACATTCAATGCCGATTGGTCAGCAGGGAAGAGAACTTGTTTCACACTGACGGAGCCTCCCGGGCACCGAGACGTCGCCTCTGTCTTGGCTGGCACAGCGCCGCCGCGTTCTGCTCCTTGCACTGGGCGGGCTTGGTGTGCGAAGAACTCGAGGTCCCCCTGGCGCCCAGGCGGCCCCTTCAAGTCCGAGCGCCGGGGCGGGGGGCGCTGGGGTTCGTGTGTCTGCTGGCAGCACAGTGGGTGTGGACGAGGTCACCGGTTGGGTATCTAACAAACACTGGCTCGCAGAAGGGACTGTGGCACACCTGGCACAGCTGTTTGTCTGAGAGCCGGAAGGAGCTTCTTTTCAGCTTCATCTGCGAAAATAAAGACAGGTTCTCACATGTTGCTGTGCAGTCTTTCAGACACGCCTGACCCCAGGGACCACTGTTACTGATGAGCATTGCTTTAATATCAACTTCCTGAAACACAGTATTAGAAGGAAAATAACAAACACAGCCTAGTAACTGGGGAAGCACAAAGAGCCTCGAAACAAACCCCTTTCTTATTTTACAAACATCATTGGTGCTTGTCTGGCGGAGGCATCCCACCGAGATGGCCCCTCGGACGCTCTGTGAGCCCGGGCGCACTCCGGCGAGGCCTGCTTGCCGTGGTGCCCTTAGAGCTGGATGAGGCCGCTCCACCCTCACTTCCCGGGGCCGCTCACCGACACACAAGCAGAGGAAGGCGCAAACAAGGCACCTGGTCAAAGCCACAGGGCCGGTTAGTGGCACATTCCTGACGTCCTAGGACAATTTTCTTTCCTTAAGGTACTAACAAGCCTGAGCTGTGACTCCATCGCCAGCCTTTCTGCACAATTCCCTGCGGCCCACACGGCAGCTGGTTGGAGGTTGAGCAGCAACGTGGTGAGTTCACCTTGGACACATTAGTGTCATCAGTCCTCCGACATTTATTCAGTGCCCTCGGGACGCCTGGCTTGGCTCTAGAGATCATAAATACTGAGATCGTAAATGACACTTCCTGCTCTCAAGGAAACAAGCAATTACGAAAGGCGTGCTCAGAATGGTTAACCGGCTGAGGGCTGTGAAGGTTCCACCAGGGCACCACCTGGCCGGGTTTCCTGCAGGTGGTCCCCAGATACGAAGGGACAGGTGAGATCACCCCGGCAGAGAGAACGGTGGGAACGAAGGCCATACATGTGGAGAGTGTGTCACCCTGAGGGGTGCCACACGCCCTGGCAAGCCGTGACGGCCGAAGAGGTGAGATGGAATCGTCCAGGCATCGACCTCTTCCGGGAGCCAATGACGCTTCCAAGGGGGACAGGCTGGCTCCTGCTCTGGGGAGACTGCTCCTCCCACGGAGGGGTCTCCAAAGGGAGGAAAGGTGGGGGGCTGTTGCAGACTAAATTGTGCCCCCCAATTCATACGTTGGAGCCCTAATTCCTAATGTGATGGTACTTGGGGGTGGGGCCTGTGGCAGGTGCTAAGGTCAGACGAGGCCATGGTGGGCGCCCAGGACAGGAGTAGGGCTGTCAGAAGAGGAAGAGGCCAGAGCTGCTCTGCTGCGAGAGGACACAGGGAGCGCCAGGGAGTCCGCACCAGGCAGGGACTCTGCCGGCCACACATCTTCAACTCCCAGCCCCTGTAATGTGAGAAACAAGCGCTGCTGTCTAACCTGAGGGGACATTTGCTAGGGCAGCCCGAGCTGAGTGACAGAGGGACAAGATGTGGCGCTCCGAGGGGCTGGGAAGCACGCCTGGCTCTTCCATTGACGTGACTGCTCTGTGCCTCAGTTTCCCCTCCTGTGAAACGGAGATAATAGTAGTACTGCATTCAAATGCTGTGACGAGGAAGTGATGTCATGATGCCAAGTGCGGAAAAGCGCTGGACACACACCGTGCACCTGCCTTCCTGACTATTGTCTTGGAAAGGGGAGAAAGCACGCTCCGCACAGGCCTCTCCGAGCGGAATGCAGACTGACGCTGCAGAGGAAACACTGACAGAATATTCCCCAGGCAAAACGCACACCACACAACACCCGCGTCCGGAGGCGCCTGGCTCTCACCTGGTCGTGCTTATAGATCAGGTTCTCCGACGTGGCCAGGCCGAGCGCCACCTGCGCGGTCCTCCTGGTGTGGGTGCTGTCCCGCACGGCGCCCGTCAGGAACGGGCAGAGCAGCTGCACCGACCAGGTGCCCGGCAGCAGCTGCAGAACTTGGGCGGCGTCAAACTCCGCGGCGTGGCGGTTCAGGAGGTCCACGGCGGCCACAGCCAGCTCCGCGGAGGCGGAGGCGGAGGCGGAGGCAGGAGGGCTGGGGCCCGGGCCCAGGTACAGGGCCAGCAGCGTGTGGAAGAGCCGCCGTCGGTAGGCCGGCTCCCTGCCCACGGAGCGCCAGGCACAGTAGTCCTCGGCCGCAGGGAAGTCCCCCAGCTCGAGCGCCAGGGTGCGCAGGGCCTGCTCGTGCTCCTCCAGCTTCCCGTGCAGGATGGCCCTCTCCATGGGCAGGCCGGCGTCCCGCACTCTCTCTGTGGGCAGAACCACGGGTCAGAACAGCGCGAGGCCAAGCTGGCGCCTGGCCGCTCCTACGCCCAGCCCCAGACCATGTGGAGCGGCGTCCGTGTCCACGCTTTGCATCTGGTGTCACACGCCAAAGACACGTGCTACCTCTCTCTAAGGACAGGCAGGTCACAGAATACAGCTTTGCTCAGAGTTTAGAGAATGAACGAAACACATGACCCTGGTCTCAGAAGGCCCAGGAGACCTGCGTGCCAGCCTGGGGCCTCCAACCAGCCCACAGGACCCCGTCCAGTGAGGGCCTCTTGACTAACGCAGAAAAGCATCACAGATAACGTCACCTCTCGCCGTACAGTTGGCCAAACCCCTTTATTCTAATTTGAACTCTACTCCATGCAAAGGCATATGGGTTCACATCGCTAAAATACATGTCTACATCAGCCTAAAGCAGTGGTCGGCAAACTGTGGTCCCAAGCCACACGTGGCTCTCTGGCCCCTTGGGTATGGCTCTTCCACAAAATACCGACTTCTGCTCATGGGCCACCAAGTTTCAATCGCACTGTACGTGTGCGCCCACACGTGGTATTTTGTGGAAGAGCCACACTCAAGGGGCCAAAGAGCCGCATGTGGCTCGCGAGCCGCAGTTTGCCCACCACTGGCCTAAAGCAAGCACGTCAAACTTGTAGCCCACGGGCCGCATGTGGCCCAGCCAATATAACGGTACGTAACAAAAGTTTTAATAAAAAACTCGTAACTTAATTTTTACAATATCCTGTTACACATAATTATTAATAACAAACTACAACGTTCGCTAATGACTGATGACTACAATCGTGTTGCATTCATTTCCCTTATGCACTTTATGCACAGGCGCACCATTTCTCTCCACTAATACTAGCAGTGAATATTTTAGCAGCTGATGGCCACATCATTAGTCTTGGACTGACTTGTTTGGTGTGCACAACAGGAAATATTTCGCTTTCGGAGAACAAGAAAAATAGGTTTATTTGCGTTACGCTTATTAATTCGTGCAGTTATTCAGTTTGGTAAGTTAATGTGCAAGAAAAAATATTAATTTTTATTAAAATGTTCTATTATTTTGTTAATGATGACTCGTTTATTGCAGCCCTTTGTATTCAGCATGTCTCTATTGAAATAAACCTATGTTTCTATGAAAATTGAAGCTTTTGTTTTTTGGGGACCACATACACTTAAGCCTTGTTTATTTGGCCCGTGTTAGCCTTTGAGTTTGACATGCTCGGCCTAAAGATTTTCCTGTTTGTCCACAATGTAAATGTCCAGGCGATAAGTAAGTGGCACCAGCAGAGGAGCACAGGGGCCAGCTGCCCTCGGTGGGCCGCGTCTCCTCAGTGACGTCCCTTTGCTGCCCACTCCCCTGCCAGCCAGGACGATAATGTAAGGTCTCTCCCACTGGGCAGGGGTGTTCCGAGGACCACCTCTCCAGGGACCAAGGATTATTCCAATTACAGGTCTTTTGCATTTGAAGTTTGGCCACATCCACGCCTGACGCACAAGGCAGACACCACCAGTCCTGCAGCAAAGGGCTGGCTCATCCACAGGCCACCGACGGCACCAGACACAGGCTGCACAGGCACCAGCTGTCCTCACAGACCCTGAACACATCACTCCTAAGTGGATGCCACCCGTAAGGAGAGGCACAAAGACGGTGATGAAAAGGTCTGGCAGCGACCTACACCTTCACGTCTGCCGTCTCATTCATGCTTGACTCTTGCCCCCATGGGTGGGCTTGGCAGGAACTACTATGCCACGTGCCCCAGTGACACCCCGAGTCACCTGACTCCCAGGGGGCAGCGGTCGTCTGAGTGGCAGTGCTGTTCCAGTCTTGGGGACACCCACTTCCTGCACGCTCCCAGGCTTACCTTCTGACTGTCAGAACAGGGCCGCCTCGGGGCAGCTCCCCGGCCCATCCACCCGAGGCCTGGCCTGCTACTCCCTGGGCCCCACGCGGAGCTTCCACGGCCTCACCTGACCCTCGGTTAGGAGGACAGGATTCCAGCCACACCGCTCTCCACCCTCTGTGCACGTCTGACACTACGCATGCTCCACAAAAGTGGCGGGATAAGAACAGCCATCGACAAACTGAGTAGCATGAAGCTGTTATGAAGGGATCTGTACAGCATAAAGTAGGACGTACGTCAGGGGGCAGTGGAAATGCTGAACAAGCATGACCGCACGGGCACTGGCCCATCATAACGGGCGGTGGCTGTGGGCGACCGTCTGAACGTCAAGTGCGGGCTGGGGCCAGTGTTGGCCTCTGCGCCTGCTCGGAACGCCTGCTGTGGGGCTGGCGAGCTGGGCCCACTGGGCACCTGCTCTGAGCTTCACATTCCTCTGCTACAAAGGTCAGCAGATAAGCGTCACACTGCGTGCTGAGCGTTGTGACCTATGCCTGGGATACACATAGTCAGTCCCCAGTGTTTGCAGATTCTGTATGTGCCTCCTCGCCAGCATCTATCTGTAACTCCAAAAGCAATACTTGTGGTGCTTCTGAGGCATCTGTGGCCTCGCCCGCGTGGCCAAACGGGTGAGCCAGCGACCGGTGAAGCAAAGCGACGCTCGGCTCTCACTGGGCACACGTGTGCTTATCGCGGTCCTCAGGTCCCGGGGCAGCACGGCTGTGCTTCTGGAGGTGGTTCAGCATTGACAACGGCCCAGGCTCAGGGCTGGACGCGGCTACGCTGGCAGCACAGGAGGGCTGGTGCCTCCCAGGAGCGGTGCGTCCGCTGAGCCTCGGGGGGGCTGACTCGGCGCTGCTGCTGTGAGACAGTGTTCACAAATCAGCTGATACTACATGAGGGTCTTTACACAGAGGCATCAAACACGCTCTGCACGGACCGGCCGAGGGAGAGCTAGGGATCAGAGTGCGCAGGGACCTGGCCCGGTCTCCCGAGCGCAGCAGCGTCCTCACTAGTTGTCTGTGGAGACTACAGCCCCCCTCCAGCGGGGCTGGCTTTGTGCCTGAAGGCTCCAGGGATCGCCCACGGAACCACAGGAGCGATGCCGAAGCCTTGCCCTGCTCCCGCCACCCGAGGGTTACCGTGGAGCGACCACGAGCTCGCCTCACCCATCAGGAAGTGCACTCGGTACAAGTCGGACTTCTGCAGCAGGCGTCGCAGCTTCGCCTGGGTCTCCGTCACCTCGGCCCCCGAGCCGCTGGCGCCGGGCGTCCGCTGCAGCACCGCGTCCAGGTAGAGGAGGGCCAAGCGCGTGTGGTACTCTTCCCTCTGCAGGAAACGGGCCAAGCAAACGTGTTCGCGAGGGGGAGACTGGGTGCCCGGCCCGCAGTGCCGAGGGGACCTGGCGGATTCACAAGGACAATGCACAACACGCTGGCTGGTCAAAACCCTCTCAGAAACCACAACGCAGAGAAGGCGGATTTAAAATCCACGGGGCCCTAGCTGGTTTGGCTCGGTGGGTAGAGCCTCGGCCTGCAGACTGAAATGTCCCAGGTTCGGTTCCAGTCAGGGGCACATGCCCGGGTTGCGGACTTGATCCCCAGTGGGTGACGTGCAGGAGGCAGCCAATCAGTGATTCTCTCTCATCATTGATATTTCTATCTCTCTCTCCCTGTTCCTTCCTCTCTGAAATCAATAAAAATAAATAAATAAATAACTTACAGGGAAACTATAAAAGAGCTACTTCTCATTTTGAGAAGGGCCACAGGATTCTCCAAAGAGGTACAGCTTCTCTCATTTCCTTTAAGAAAATCAACAAGGAAGGAGTAGAGAAGGAACGTACGAGCAGGGTGGACATGAGATGAGGGTAAGAAGCTACTTACTCCTCCCGCCTCTTTCACAACCGCCAGCTCCTGCAGACCACCAGCAGCACAGCTGGGCAGCCAGGGCACAGAAAACGCTACACGAGGACCACCTGCCACCAAGTCTTAGTGTTGAATCCCGTCGCTTAGAGCGGGATGCTGCCATCGGCCCACCTGACCCACTTCGCGGGGCTCACCTGCAGGTTCCTGTCCATAACCAGGTGTTCCAGGTACCGCACAAGGGCGTTGGGGTATTTCTTAAGGCGAGTGAGCACATCGTCTGGATTGAAACCGTCCTGCTGCTCCTCCAAAGGCCTCCTGGTGAAAACCTGAACTCCAACCTGCGGGGAGAGCGCGCCTGAGTGCCTGCTGTGCACAGGCCCCTCTCACCGTGTCCCGAGCTCCCGGTCCGCGCTCTGGGTGAAGCCGGAGGCTCTGGGAGCAGTGCACAGGAAGCTCGCAGACGGAGCAGAGGCTGCTGGCCCGGCCCTCCTCACAGCCTGGCCATTCCCTCCAAAGGGCCAGAAGTTAAAGAACGAAACATTTATTGGAAACAACCCATAAAGCAAAACTTTGTAATATTAAGATCATCCCAAACCAGGATGGTCACTGGCTGACTAGGAAGTGAAGGATCTGAAGTGCTGCCCACCCAGCGGCCCATTCTCCTGACGCTGACACTGCTTGGTGGAGCACCCAGTGTCCAGGCTGCCTCCGGCCTGTCTCCCGGGGCCCACGGTGCAATTCCGTGCTCTGAGGACGTGCCGACGGCACGCAGGGAAGCAAACCCAGCCTGCACCTGCCCCGGGCACTGTGTGCACTCTTACACACACGCTCGCACGCCACAAAGCCCATCAGCGGAACAGCGCAGCTCGGCTCTGCCAACTGCAGCGCCTGGGGACGTTCAGAGCTCTCGGAGCCCGGGCTCCCATCCTGAGGCGCCCACTGGGGCCGTCTCCTTGTTTAAAAGAGGTGACACATGTGAGGGACCGGTGCAGGGTCAGGGAGCACCCAGAGCCCGAGCGCCGTGACCACCTTGTCACTGCAGCGGCACTAGGCTGTCAGCCGGGCGTGAGCAGGTCGGCGCGTGGTGCTGTGTGTGCCAGCGCAGATACAGAGGATGGGAAACGTACACGGAGCACACGGCCGACTCCAGTTAGGACAGCACCAGGGAGGACACGGGCGACCCACATTTCAGAAGGGCACCTGTGGCCAAGGCCCTGCATCAGAAAGCTACCGTTGTGTCTCCAGAGGGAAAGAGGCCGCGCAGGCGTTCTCAGCGGCGAGAACTGAATGCTTCCCCAGGCGTCTTGGGCCTGTCCTCGGGATTCAGGCCCTGCCCCGAGCACGCTGTCCCCTCTGGGTCCCCAGTGCTCTCCCACTGACCACTGACATCCTTGCTTAGCCTCTGAGATGGGCCAGTCCTGCTCACGGCTGCCCTCCTTCCTCCAGACCCACGACCCCCACATCATGGCGGTGGGAGCAGAGACAGGGCAGCGGTTCGCCTGGCGTGGCCCAGGCCGGGCACCCAGCCTGCAGAGCAGCCATCGGATCCTGCTCCCGTCCACGGACCACAGGGCCGCCAGCCGCAGTTAGGTGGGGTTTTGCAGAAGATGCTAAGAATGGGGCTGGCTATGCTGCCGCGTCTCTAACGTGGCCCGCCCAGACAGGATGCTGAACAGCACATCTCCAAAAGCACTGAAAAGCTGGGACGCCAGGTGCGCAGGGGCTTGTAAAGGGGAGCAAAGGACGCGGACACAGCTCAAAGCGAAGCTTGCTTACCCACCCGAATCAAGGCTTTGTCTGTCTTTACCACCCCAGCCCCACCCCCCCCGAATGCATTTACGAAGCACAAACCTCCTCACTTTTCTGCAAGGCCCAGTCGGCGTGCTTCCACACCAGCGCGTGGTCCGGGCTGTGGGTGAGGAAGTCCACCACGTAGTCGTACAGGTCTGCGCGCGTGGGGTCGTCAATCTCCCCGTTCACAATGTTCACCCACAACTGGCAGGAGCAACGAGAAGAAACAAAAGCTTACGTACCTGCTAGAAGCGGCTGAGAAAGGGCACACGCTTACTTTTTTGGCCTTTTAATACTTAAAAGCAGTCGGACAAATTTTAAGTGCTTAAGTCAAATTTAACTTTTTCTCAGAGAAATAAAGAAGTGTAGAAGACATGGCTCAGGAAATCAAGAAAACAAATCACCTGTCCTTCTCCCCCCTCTTTAGTGACGTCAGTGACACAGGTCACACACGCCCTGTGTGGGAGAGGTGGGTGTGTCCAGCAAGTTTCTGCACAAAGTAACGCGGTCACTGACAGCTCAGCACCGAAGTCACCCAGGACCGCTGGCCAGGCTGTCTCCACCTTCTCCATTCCAGGAATTCCTCACCTAAAGTCTTTTTCCTACTGTGATAGACACTGTCCTTTCAAACGCTCTGATTCTGTCCCCTAGTGTCCGATAGCCTTTGCACAAGGCCCCGGGACAGGCCGTAATGAGAGGCCTCTGCCATTTCTTGCAGAACTTCCTGCCGTGAAGTGAAGCTTGCCTTCGAGCCCAGCAGGGGCAGCATCAGGGCAGAGGGGCCGCTGCCCGCCCGCCGTGGCACTGCCCGCTGCCCGAGGTGCCTCCGCGCCCTCCTCCACGCTGCACTGCAGGCCACGCCACCAGCCAGAAGCCCCAGAAACGGGCAGGCAGCAGCGGCTGAGTCCGACGATAGGCGCGCCAACATATTTTATGGCACCAGGTTCTTCAACACTGAGTTCCCTAAACCAAATCATCTGATCACACACACTAAAATGTGTCACTTTAAAAACATAGTGGTTGTCTGTCATATAGTGAGATTTTTTTCATATTATTTCAATTTTGTAAATCTCTAAATATACCTCTGCTAATATTATTACATGTATATCAAGCTATAATTCTTTTTTTAAATATATTTATTGATTTTTTACAGAAAGGAAGGGAGAGGGATAGAGAGTTAGAAACACCGATGAGAGAGAAACATCAATCAGCTGCCTCCTGCACACCCCTTACTGGGGATGTGCCCACAACCACGGTACATGCCCTTGACCATAATCGAACCTGGGACCCTTCAGTCCGCAGGCCGACGCTCTATCCACTGAGCCAAACCGGTTAGGGCAAACTATAATTCTTATGTAATTATGTGATGTAAAAAATAAAAATTTATCTTTGACACTCAAATCTACTTTCAGCCGTGGGGTGCCTGCTGGTGGGAACCATTTTTCTCTCTCAGCCTGTTCTGCAGTGATGCTGCCACAATAGTTTAAGCAAATGTGAGTGTGCCTTTGCCAAAGTCAGGAAGCTGCCTCAGCTTGCTGAGTGGTGCTGGTGGTCGTGGCTTCTCACAAAGCACAGAAAAGAAGGCCCACAGGGAAACTGTGGCACAAAGCAACCCAAGGGACTGAGACCGGGGCAGCCTCTGTGGAAGACAGTATGGAGAGCCCTCAAAAAACTAAAAATGGAACTCCCATTTGACCCATGAGCCCACTTCTAGGAATACATCCCAAGAAACCAGAAACACCAATCAGAACAGGTGCACCCCTCTGTTCATAGCAGCACAATTCACCATAGCTAAGATCTGGAAACAGCCTAAATGCCCATCAGCAAACAAATGGATTAGAAAACTGTGGTACATCTACACAATGGAATACTATGCTACTGTAAAAAGGAAGGAACGCCTACCATTTCCAATAGCATGGATGGAACTGGAGAGCATTATGCTAAGTGAAATAAGCCAGTCAGAGAAAGATAAGTATCACATGATCTCACTCATTTGTGGAATATAATGAACAACATAAACTGATGAACAAAAATAGATCCAGAGACATAGAAGCATTAAACAGCCATCAAACCTTAGAGCAGCGGTTCTCAACCTGTGGGTCGCGACCCCTCTGGCGGTCGAATGACCCTTTCACAGGGGTCACCTAAGACCATCCTGCATATCAGATATTTACATTACGATTCATAACAGTAGCAACATTACAGTTATGAAGTAGCAACGAAAATAATAATTTTATGGTTGGGTCACAACATGAGGAACTGTACTTAAAGGGCCAGAAGGTTGAGAACCACTGCCTTAGAGGGAAGGCGGGAGGCAGAGGGTAAGAGACCAACCAAAGAACTTGCATGCATATAAGCATAACCAATGGACACAGATAATAGGGGGGTGAAGGCCTGGGCTGGGGGGACAGGGACAGGCTGGGAGAGGTCAAGGGGGAAAAAGGGGACTTATGTAATACTTTCAACACTAACAAATTTTTAAAAAGTATATGGATTGTCTAACCACTATGCTGTACACCTGAAACTAATACAAAATAATATTAAATGTAAACTATAATTGAAAAAAAAAAGACTTTCCTTTCCATAAAAACCACAGCAATCCCAGTGGATGGCAACTACCACAGGGGAACGGTCTCCCAAGAGTGTGAGAGCGGTCAGTCAGATGCTGCCAGATGCAAGACTAACATTGGTCACTTGATTCAGGCTCCGCATCCGGCCAGTTCTGGTTCCACCCCCAGCTCTACCGCTGGTCAGTGGTTTGAACCTACCTTGACCATCTTCAGTTTTGTGTGTTTTTAAATATTTTTGCAATTTCAGAGAGAAGGAAGAGGAACAGAGAAATAGAAACATCAACAATGAGAGAGAATCATTGATCAGCTGCCTCCTGCACACCCCACAGTGGGGATGGAGCCGGCAACCCGGGCATGTACCCCAACTGGGAAGCCAAACATGACCGCCCAGTCCATAGGTCGACGCCCTACCACTGGCCGGCAACCAGTTTTAGTTTTGTCACAGATGACACAGGGATAATAATTTACCCAGCTCTCTGGCAATCGTTACTCTCATTAACAGTTATTAATATCATAAATTCGCTAACATTAGCAGGGAATTATAAAACAAACTTATTCCCAGTGTTAATTTTCTAATAAGGCAGTGAAGGCAAATGTCTGAAGCCTCAATAAGAAAGCATATTTTTATTTCTTAAGATTTCAAAAAACTCAGCCTTCATAATGTTCTTATGAAGAGATGTAAAGACAAAGGAAAAATTCTTGGCCCACATTCTCAAGACATTCACTTTCTAAAAACAGTAGTCATCTTGTTGTTTACAAAAGCTTACAGATCAGGGGAAAGTGGTCTCTCTCAAGTTGTGATGACTTTTAAGCTACACTAAGGCACACGGACTGGTTTCCCAATAATGCCAACGTGCGTTTGAACTAACCTGAACTGCAGCCGCATCCTGGTCATTATGGTGGTAGAGCAGTCCCAGTGCAAAATACCTGCAGGAAAACAGCGTGGTGAGTGCCCCTCCCGCCTTCTGTGGGGCACCCCACAGTGACCCCCCACCCTGCCTTCTCCCCCCTCAGAGTTCAGCAACAAGGTCCTCGTTTCTGCTTATTTACTTATAGTGTTAAATGCACACCCAGCACCCTGGACAGTGGCAGATAGTTGGAGTGTCCTCCCAGGGCACCAAAAGCGTCAGGTTCGACTCCTGGTCGGAGCACATCCCCAGGCTGTGGGTTCCATCCCTGGTTGGGCATGTACAGGAGGCAACCAATCAATGTTTCTCTCTGACATCAACCTTTCTGTCTCTCTCTAAGCATATTACTAAGCATATTATCAGGTGAGGATTAAAATAAAAAATTTATGCCCTATCAATTTCCAAAAAAAACACATTCAAGTCTAAGATAAGCTGACCAATAAAACTATGACTTTACTATGGAAAATCACATTTGAAATTTCTTTACAATTTGCTTCAAATATTACTATAATTTCATATATCTTCAGTTAGCCACTTTAACCTAATATTAAAGGACTATTTGGAAGGTTTGCTACCTGAACTATTATTGCAAGAAGGAGTAAGGAGTTGAACATGAACAGCAGTAAAGACCAACAGGATCCAGGCATCACAGAGAATGGAACATCAGGGAAAGTCCTGGGGCAGCCCACCAGAGTTCAAGGACATGAGTTTCTATTCAGGCTGCATTACTTATGACTGTGTGACCTTGAGCAAGTAGAAAGGATTAGCAATGACATTGGCATTGCCTGGGCAGTGAGCCACGGCCACCCTTCCGAGTTCTGCAGGTGTGTCCTGCTCCTGGTCCCCTCCTCCCCAGCAGGGGACTGGAGCAAGGGACCCAGGAGGTGTCAGATTTCTTCCCACACAGAGCAAACTCCCAGGATATGGCTGACTCTCCGGACCCTGTCATCCCATCACTACCGCGAGGTGTCAGCGTATTTTCTGGTCCTAAACAAAACGACTCCACTCCACACGCGTTCAGGAATTGGAGGGACAGCTGGAGGAGCAGCGCCACGTGGAGACCAGCCACCAGACTCTTGTCTTGGCCTCTGAACAGGGTCAAGCACTGGACTCACCCAGTCCCCGTCAGATTTCACCAGGGCAGTTGTCATTTCAAATACATAACAAAAACCACAGACCAAGAACCTTACTGCCAAGTGGAGTGTGGGGGTCACCCAACACTTTTAAAGAAAAAACTCATGAGGCCCAGAAGATTCGACCACGTGACATCCCAGGAGGAGGAAGCTGCCACCCGCACCCAATCCGTGTCCTCGGATTAACTGCCCTCGCACGAGGGGCAAGGGGATGGCCGCCTACTAACGTGTGCCCGTAACGAAGAGTTTTAAGCCATAACCTCTTACCCACGAGACCAAGAAGCCCCCTCTTATCTATTTATCCAGATGTCTGTCTATCTATTCAAACTGGGCATCAGTGGGTAACGTGCGCTATTAACTGTGCCAACAAACACTGGTGTCTTCCGCAGGCGAATCCTACCTGGAACAGGAGCAACCTGAGGACCACTTCACTTACGACAGGCTGGTTAGCTCCACACGGAAGACGCCACCGGAGGGCGCTGGCTGTCACTGGGACTTCAGGGCAGCCCCTTGAGGGCCTCGGCAACTCAAACCCACTGGCTTCATCGGCTTCACGGCAGCCTCCCCACGGGAGGGAAGGCCAAGCAGGAAGCCGGGCACGCGGAGCACACTCACCGCTTGTGCTTCTCCAGCCAGGCAGCGCTGTCGGCCAGCAGGCAGGCGTTCTCGGTGACCAGGAGGTCCAGCAGGCTGGCGTGGCCGGCCTCGGCGTACAGCTTGAGCAGGGCCGTGTCCACGTCCTCCTTGTAGCTGTGGACCACCTCTGAGCTGCGCACTTCTTCCAGGTAGGTCATGAGGAAGCGCTTGCACTTGGCCGCCTTCTCCTGGTCGCCCTGGGTCAGCTGGTTCAGGTCTGCGTACTCGTGGAGAGGAGGGTGAGACCGCGTGAATGAAGAGGAGGTGGGCAACAGGAAGGGGCACAGAGAGATCAGCTCCCGGACGTCAAGCTGGCCGCTTCTGCAATTACAGTGTCAAACTAAATGAAGCAAAAAGAGAGAGAGAGTGCACGTAGGCACACAAACAGCACTGGAGGGCGGGCACGCTGCGCACGGAGCAGGAGAGCGGCGCACCACCGCAGAGACCGCCTTCACCTGCACGTGAGGCACAGCATCCCCGGGCCGAGTGCCACCACCTGATCTCACACAGAGGGAGGGGACCAGAGAGAGGACGCACAACACGTGCTGCAGTGAAACTCCGACACAGCCGCACACCACGGGCTGTGGCTCCCCGGGGCCCCAGGGCAAAGAAAGAGACACAAAGGCAACACCCATCAGCATCGGGTCGTCCTGCACTGCTTCCTCCCCGGCTGCTGGACGTCCTACAGGCTCTGCGGAACCCCAGCTTCCAGCTTCCTCAGCAGGCACCTGGGACCCGGGACATGGGCACCGCGGAAATTTCCAGGGACTCCTGAGGACTCAAGCGGCCAGCAGTCCTCACCTCGCAAGGCCCAGGAGGCCCTCCAGGAACGCCCATCGCTACCGCATCGCCGCTCCCTCTCCCCTCGCCTCCCTCCGCCCCAGTTCTGCCCACAGTGCTAATAGCAACAATGCCAGCAAAGCCTCAGGCCTGGCCCAGGGTCAGAGCCGCCTGTGGGACACACCCGCCGTGGGAGGGTGGGAGGGTGAGAGGGTGGGAAGGTGCGAGGTGCGGGCGCCGGCCATGTGAGCAGCACCAAACTTCTAACAGCAAATGGAGAAGGAATCTGAGAACCAGCCCCAGATGAGTGAGGAAAAAATCACGAGTATTATTAGCATGGTCTGCCGAGGGCACAGGAAGGGAAGGCAGAATCATGCCTGTCCCAGGAGGGTCCCCCTCAAACCTGCACTTCCCCGGCCTCGCTGACAAAAGCGAGCAGCAGTTGATGTAACGGTAAGTGATACAGAGGCTGACGTGGAAAGCACAGGAGCCCACATTTATTCTGCCAAAATCGGCAAACTTTCCTAGGAGCGCACCATGACCGTTCACCTGTATTTTAAATTAACCTGTGACGTGACGGAAGACCCCAGTGAGGAGGCTGCCAATTCCATGGGGACAAGACCAGGCGTGAGTGAGAGCGTCAGCCCACAGGGACCAGGACTCCTCCCCAACCCCAAAGCTAGTGATCATCCAGGCGCAGATGACAACAGCGGAGAACTTCTGCAGGCAAAAGGTTAGCAGGCACCAGGCTCACACGGGAACCCCTTCTTTAGCCTGAGTCTATTCTCTGCAACTAATCCGGGACCAGGGACACGATCAGAGCCCCAGTGCATGGCGCCGGGAGCTGGCGGCAGGCACGGCTCCTCCTGAGCGCAGGCCCTGGAGGCCGCACAGACCAGCACAGCCTGTGGTGGCTCCCAGCGCAGGCTCTGCTCCAGCCCCGCATTCTGAAAGCTGCTCATAGGCAATGCGTTAGTGGGTACTCAGACGACGGTACAGGTTTCACCTAATCTTCTGCAAAGCATGCTGGGCACACAGTGTGAGAGGGCAGGGCAGCTGGGAGAACAGGTGAGATGGGAGTGGGCGAGGGGTGAAGGCAGATGGCCCTGGTACAGACAGGGTTACTCATGGTGCTGGGAACCTCCCAGGAGAAACACAACTTCCTGAGCGAGCTAACTATGACGGGCCATTTATAGTCTTTAGGGAATCGTTTTCATAAGTCCTCCCAGAACTGCCTGCTCTTGTTCTAAACTCATAGCTTCCTGTGAAACCTCTGGAGAAAAGGAAAAGTGAACAATAGTATTTTCCTAAAAACCCTCCACGTTATCAAATCCACTCTTTAAACTCCCCTCTCCTGTCCTGTACGCCCGCATCAGCCCCACCCTCTAAGATACAGGACAGCTAAACTAAGGCTGAGGGTGCAGGGGATGGGTACCATCTAACCAGGGCAGCACCTCCCACCGCAGCATCGAGGTGGAATGGAGCCCTGAGCACAGAGGGACCCTCGGAAGTCCTGCTGTCAGCACCTCGAATTACCTGAAGAGCTCTTTAGCTTCCAGGAACTGCAGTTGTGCAAAGTGTATGAAGCCCGCCTGCTGCAGGATCCTTCTGTACATTCCCTGAAAGAAAGACAGCTATCAGATCCACGCTTAGAAGCTTCGACAGAAATACCATCCACAGCACACGACACAAATCAAGGAAACGTTGGACACACACCTTTGTCTCCTCGATGCCTCTTTCTTAAAGCGCCACATTCTGTCTCTTTGGATCTCTAGAAGAAATACTCCTTTACTCCCAGCCCCTCAGTCAAACTTCTGATAATCCCTCCCTAGCGCTCAGTGGAGCAAGATCAGTTCCTGCTTTAAATGAAGAGAAGGGGTGAACGGTGAGATGCCAGTCTCTTGACCGCCTGGCTCCTTCCTCTCCCTTTCCGGTTTCTCTAAGCCTGGGCTAGCATTTGGTCGCACGCATCCTAACGTTAAAGTAAGTAATGTACCTTATGATAAGGGTCACATCTAACCCTAAAAACACAGCCCCTTCAGGAGAGGTTACCCCTAAACAACCACCTCTGCTCCACACCCATCCCATCAGCGTTGTTGGGAGCCCGGTCCACAGCTGTGACTCACGCGGACCCATTCCTTTGTAGCTCAGCCCAGAAATGAGCAGAGGTGGGAAACCAAGAAGTAAGAGTCTACCCAGGAGCCGGGAAGGCTCAAGAACAGGCATATTTCAACAAGGTATCGAAATAGTAATTTACAGCACATGGAAGTCGCTCCAGTAGAGCAAGGGGGGGAGAGGTGTGCGAGTGCGCGGCAGGTGCACGGCAGGTCCGCACGGGGAGACAGGCCCCAGCGCTCTGCTCTCACCAGCTGCCGTGCCTTCCTGTCTCTGCAGACTGTACTGGTTATGTTTGACCTGCTCTGAGGACTGAAATGTTTAAAATGCCTCTCAGAGGGCTTTCACACTGTAGGGCTCAACCGCTGTTCCCCAGGTCCTCTACCCTGTGAGGTGAACTGTGGTTCAGGCACGTTTCACAGGGCGACAGAGGGGGCAGGGGAGGAGGGAAGCGGGCGGGGCCGATCTGAAGCACCTGCAGGGTGTGGACTTTACTGTCGGCAGGAGGCCCCCACTGATGCATTTTACGCCAGGATGTGGTCTGCAGTTTAGAAAGATCACCCCAGGGTGGCATGGAGGATGGAGCAGGCACCCCGAGGAGGCTGCTGACACCAACCAGCTGCAACGACGGGCACGGAGAAAGGGTTGAACCCGAGGTCCTTCTGAGGGTCCCAGGGCTGTGTGTGTTTGCAGCAACAGGGAGAAGGCAGACAGCATGTTAGAGAGGGGACATGCCGACTGAGATATCGGACCGGAGAGCAAGGCGGCTAGTAATGTTCTTAATACTCACTGCATATGTCTACTCGTGGCAAGAAGATAGAAGAAAAGGGAAAAGCAGACAAAGAACCAGGAGAGCCTCTCTAAGAAAATGTTACAAACTTAAAGTGTGCACATGAGTGTGCACGTGTGCGTGTGCATGCACGTACGTGTGTGTGTGTGTGTGTGTGTGTGTGTGTATGTGTGTGTGTGTGTGTGTGTGCGTGCGCACGTGCACAAGGAGGGGCACCCCAGGACCGGCCTGTCCAGCCATCCAACTTGTCTGCAGGCGGCAGCTCAGGGGTCCCTGATACACAGGGGAGAGAAGTGAGGGGCCCAGCAGGGTCTCAGGTCTGGCTACTGGCTCCTCCGGGCCACTGGCTGGCGGTGTAAGGAAAGCACTACAGGCGCTCAGCACAGCAGGCCCTGAGCAGGCACTTTCTTCCTTTTGCTTTTGCTGCCCCCTGCTGAGAGCTAATAGGTAGGTCTTACTTTAAAAAATTAGAAGGATGAGAGTTCATCACTATTTAAATAGAGAAAAGATGCCTTCTTTCATACCCCATAACCACTAAGTACACTTCCTGCCTCTCGCTGTCAGAACCTACCTTTTTCAGCATAAAGCATCCTCTCATTCCACAGCAGTCACAGCCACGGACTGTGAAGGGTTACTCTACGTCCATGAGCCCTTTCAACGATGACTTAGACATTCACATGAATGTACACTCACCCACATCACATTTCTTTTTCTCTCGACTCCAGAGCGTAACCTGAACTAACCTGACAGTTGATCAAGCAGCAATTGTTAGGGAATGTGACTTCATTAGAAATAAGAATAACTTGTGATTATTATATCCATTACATTTATTCATACCAACTCTACGAAAGCTCATGTTTCTTAAGTGCATTGAGTTTTCTCCTAAGGAAATTAACTAGGTGGATTCCTGCAGTATTACATAGTTATCAGTATGGTTAACCTGTAGAAAATAGAAACCTAAACTTTTACAATTCAGTCCATCCCAACAAACACAAATTCTAAAGGAGGAAACAAAGTAACCTGCTGCTACTCTTGGCTTTCAGAATTATGCCTGATTCTTCTTTGAAGGCCACTGAGGAAGGAAGTTGATCAGAAACACAGCTCTGTGTACCGAGCACAGAGCCGGAGGCTCCCAGCCTGACCTGGCTGTCGGCCGTGTCCTGCGGCTGCTGCCCGGGCCGTGGCTCTGCACCCGTTTCCTACCTGCACAGTGGGATGTGCCGAAGGAACTCCGCCCGAGCGGTCGGCACACAGGAAGGGCTCCTGTGTGGGGCTAACCCTGAATGCTTTCTGCTTACTGCCCCGGAGGCATGCTTCCTCCATCAGTAGCTACAGACCTGAAATTTTTCCTTTGGAATATTCCTCCGGGCTCCTTTTGCTAAAACCAACGCCTCCTCCACTCTGTGGCTTGCTAGAAGATCCTGTATTTGTTTCTCCAGAGGTAAGGGAACCAAGATGTAAACTCCTTTACTTGTGGCGACAATCACTCTTCCTGGGAAGAAAGGCAACCAATTGGAAGGGGGAAGACATACCGCCGGCAAGAAAACGCTGCTCCCACACTGACCCGCTCTGACGTGCTGATCAGTCTCACTGGTGTTCGCCCACACAGAATCACCATGAAACTAGAAATGATAACGCCTCTCTCTTCTTCATCCCATACGTTCAACTGTCAGCAAAGGCCAAAGTCTTAACACTACATTTCCAAAGTATAAAATATCCTTTTTTGCATTGTTTTTATTTGAAAGTGCTGATAAATTTACAACCAGTTGAGTAGATATACAAAACTTTTAAAATTTTATTTTCTGTTCGTGTTAGGTACTTTACAGGAAACAAGATTATAACACAACATTCTGAACGATGAGACAGTATTTCATACTCACCTGCCATACAAACACCTCCACATCTCGGCACTACCTTACTCACTCCCCACACAGCTGTGAGTCACCCTGACGGTGGCCAACAATGTCACCCATTTCACCTGGGGGACCTCGCACAGGCATCCACCCAGGCGTGCAACTACAATCCAAGACCAGCTCCTAGGACAGTGATGGCGAACCTTTTGAGCTCGGCGTGTCAGCATTTTGAAAAACCCTAACTTAACTCTGGTGCCGTGTCACATATAGAAATTTTTTGATATTTGCAACCATAGTAAAACAAAGACTTATATTTTTGATATTTATTTTATATATTTAAATGCCATTTAACAAAGAAAGATCAACCAAAAAAAATGAGTTCACGTTGTCACCTCTGACACGCGTGTCATAGGTTCGCCATCACTGTCCTAGTACAAAGCTTTGTTTTTTTAATCCTCACTTGAGGAAATGCTTATTGATTTTTAGAGAGAGAGAAAGAGAGAGCTAGAGAGAGAAACATCAATCAGTCGCCTCCCATAGGTGCCCCAAGCAGGGATCGAGCCCGTAAACTAGGTATGTGCCCTGACCTGGAATCGAACCCACAACCTTTTGATGCATGGGATGACACTACAACCAACTGAGTGACCCATGTCCCAGAGTCCAGTACAAAGCTGTTGAGTGCTGCTGCGCCCTGGGGACACGTGTTAAGCGAACTATTACATGTTCACAGGAAGCAATGGCACGGCTTCTCTTTCTGCCTCAAGGGGAGTTCCGGTCAGCCACGCCTTTGCTGCTGTCAGCTCGCCTCCCCTGCACTCCTGCCCACTGCAGCCCAGCCAGCCCTCGTCTCCTGGCCTGGATCGTCACCGCATCTCCCTCCCTGGTCCTCCCGCTCTGCTCTCTAGTCTGATTATCTGTCTTCTGTTCTCACAACCAAACTAGCTTTTCCCATCCTCAGGAGACTCTGTCCCCTCTCTGTGCTGGAGTCCCTGTTCCCCGGAAGCCCCCCTTGCTCACCTAGGGTGGGCACATCAACAGCCCCTCGGTGTGCACGACCCGCCCACCTCAGCACCCGAGGTGCACGGCACTGAACACCGCTGTGAAATGTGTCCTCTGAGGCTGTGCCAGGCCTCCAGCTGGAAGCTGAGGGGCTTAACATGCCAGGTGAGTCCTCGGAAGTTCACATCCCCAGCATCTCAAAAAGGAAGGGCAACGTGTGGTAAGCTAAGATCCGTAAACGATACACGCACTGCAGGAATCTGGACTAGTTCCTGGCCCAAAGAAAAGATCATAGCAGGCATTCTAGAACCCCTGGGGGAATCTGACACAGGCAGGACATGGGAGCTCACTCTCTAAGGTGCGGAAGGGCGGTGTGGTTACGGAGGAAAGTGCCCTGATTCTGAGGAGAGGCAGGCTGGAGCATTACGGTTTAAACGCTGTGTGGTCCTCCACTTCCCTTCAACGTTAGGCGCTACATCTAAGTGGACGGTGCACAGAGGTTTCCTTTGTCTTCTCTCAACTCTTCAGTACATTTAAAAACGTTCTAATAAAGTTTAGAAGTAAAATAAATCCGCCCCCTGGCTCCCCACTGCACAGAAGAGGCAGCCCCTCCCTGACTGCCGGGGTCTCCTCATCTGATACCATCCTCCTTCCACGCTGAGCACCACAGCCACTGAATTGCTTCCGGGGCCTGAAGTGCAGGTTTGCATGCACCTTGCTCTCTACCTGAAGGTTCTTTCATAGTACATATGCTTGGCTGAGTCCTTCTCACCTTTAAAGGTTTGGCTCAAATACCACCTCCTTCAGGAAGCCCTTCCTGATATTTCTAGGAAATATTTCCTCCTCTGCTCTCCCCTTACTTCATCCTATCAGGCTCTTCAACTGCTGTGCCTACTGTTTAAATGTCTCTCTCCCCACTGACCCTGGGCCCCCAAAGTGTGGAATGTGTGTTACCATCACCTTGTACCTGCTATGCTCAGCATAAACCCGGTTCCTAACGGGCCCGGAGCAATACTTACTGAGGAAATGTCACAATGGAAGGAATACACAGAATTTTGTTAAGATTTCTGCGTAAACTGGTACCTTCGAAGTCCTGCAGAATGTGGCCTTCCTTGAAAGGCAGGGTCTGCTTCTGCTGCTGGTCCAGCATGCTGTGGACTGTGATGAAGGCGTCGTCGAGCGCCAGGACATAGGGGAAGCAGACAGCCGCCCCGATCACGTTCTCCGACCAGTGCACAGGAGCCCGCTGAGAAATCCCAGCAACGGTGGCAAACATGCCTAGAAAAACAGGGATTAGGAGGCCTTAAATAACTATTTATTTTCCTGCATCTGGATGCAGAATATCTCTCACTTTCCTTATATCTCAGATAGGAAAGATAACATAATTTGCTGCATGTGTGAAGAACTCTACATGACTTCATTTCCATGAGAACTAGCTTCCCAGAGTGTATATCTTATTTACTTCCAACTAAAAATGAAGGTAAACTGGGGGATTAAAAATGGTGGTGGAGTAAGTGGATGCTGCATGGACACACTCCCAGGACCTAACTGGAATTACAACTAAAACACAGAACAACTTCTTGAATAATCAACTAGACACTCGCTGGAGAGGATCCTGGTAAATGAGGACCAAAAGTGAAGACCGCATAGAGACTGGTAGGAGGGGCAGAGGCGCGAAAGGTTTAGCCGGCTGCCACAGACACCAGCTGAGGTTCCAGAGGCATATCTCAGCTCCGGGGGGGTCCCATTGAGAGCACTGGGGTCTAAACCCCAAGCAGAAAGCACCAGAATTGAGAAATGTGATCACATAACATCTGGCTGTGAAAAGCAGCAGGGTTGCTGTCTGCCAGGAAGAGACAGCTAGAAATGCAGGCACCCTCTTAAAGGGCCAACACACAAAATTCCCTGTGCAGCCACCCACCTTGTGCTCCAGCAGAGGGAGGACACAGTGAACTGGAGCTGTGTGAGCAGAAGTCAGGATTGGGGGCTCTGGGGTTATACCTCAAAAGGTAGACATCCCAGTTTCCAGTTCTGAGTCATTCCCTCATGCTGCGGAGGTCACAAATTCCCTATTTGCTATACAGGCGGCTTTGCCTGGGTGGAAGACAGCTGACAGACCCTATTGGAAAGCACCTTGCTCCACAGTGTGGAGTTACTGAGGCCCATTAAGAGACTGAGAATTAGAATTAGCATCCAAGCAGAAGCAATTGCCCCACCTTGTTGGGATAAACTCTCGCCATACTTGTAGATGATTGCCTGAGGGCCAGTCAAGACTAAATCCAGCCCTGGCTGGTTTGGCTCAGTGGATGGAGCGTCGGCCTGTGGACTGAGGGGTCTCGGGTTTGATTCCAGTCAGGGGCATGTGCCTTGGTTGTGGGCACATCCCCAGTGGGGGGTGTGCAGGAGGCAGCTGATCGGTGTTTCTCTCTCATCGATGTTTCTAGCTCTCTATTCCTCTCCCTTCCTCTCTGTAAAAAATCAATAAAATATATTTTTAAAAAAAAAAGACTAAATCCAATCAGTGTGCAAGAAGAGGCAGTCTCTAGAGCAGCGGTTCTCAACCTGTGGGTTGCGACCCCTTTGGGGGTCGAACGACCCTTTCACAGGGGTCGCCTAAGACCATCGGAAAACATATATAATTACATATTGTTTTTGTGATTAATCACTATGCTTTATGTTCAATTTGTAATAATGAAAATATATCCTGCATATCAGATATTTACATTATGACTCATAACAGTAGCAAAGTTACAGTTATGAAGTGGCAATGAAAATAATTTTATGGTTGGGGGTCACCACAACATGAGGAACTGTATTAAAGGGTCACGGCATTAGGAAGGTTGAGAACCACTGCTCTAGAGGCTTGGAGTCTTTGCCTGATCTAATTAGTCAGAAACAGCATTTGATTGTCCTACACTAGAGATTGAGAGGTATAGCAGATCTACCTAACATAAAGTCACAAACTCAAACAGGCAACCAAAATGAGGAGACAAAGTAACAACACCCAAATGAAAGAACAAGAGAATTCTCCAGAAGAAGAGAAAAATAAAATGGAGATAAGAACTTTATCTGATATAGAGTCAGAAAAATGATGGTAAAGATGCTCAACAGCAAGAGAAAAGATATAGTAACTATGAAACCAGAAATAAAGCATGACATAGCACAAATAAAGAACACATTGGAAGGAATACACAGCAGATTAGGAGTGGCTGAGGATCAGATCAGTGAATTAGAAGACAGGGTAGAAAAATCACTCAATCAGAACCAAGAAGAAAAAACAATTAAAAAACAGGAAGACAGCTTAAGGGAGCCAACATGAAATGTATAATATTCACATAATAGGTGAGCCAGAAGGGGAAGAAAGAGAGCAAGAGAAAGAGAACATGTTTGAAGAAATAATAGCAGAAAACTTCCCTAACCTGGTGAAGGTCATATAAGTTCAGGAGGCATAGAGAGTCCCAACCAAGAAGAACCCAAATAGGCCCACACCCAGACACATCATAATTAAAATGCCAAAAACTATAAGACAAAGAGAGAATCTGAAAGGCAGCAAGAGAAAAGCAAACTGTTACTTACAAAGAAGCTCCCATAAGGCTGACACTTGATATCTCAATAGAAATTCTACAGGCCAGAACAGAATGGCATGAAGTACTCAAGGTAATGAAAAGCAAGGATCTGAAACCAAGATAACTATATCCAGCAAGGCTATCATTCAAAATAGTCAAATAAAGAGCTTCCCAGACAAAAAAATAAAATAAATAAAAAAGGCTAAAGGAGTTCATTATCACCACCCAGCATTGCAAGAAATGCTAAAGGAACTGCTGTAATGAGAAGAAGAGAGAAACCTAAGCATACAGAATTAAAATGGCAATCAATAAGTACCTATCAATAATAACCTTAAAGGTAAATGGGTTAAATGTTCCAATCAAAAGGCATAGGGTAGCTGGATGGATAAAAAAACAAGACCCAACTATATGTTGTCAACAAGAGACCCAGCACAGAAAAAAAGATTCACACAGGATGAGAGTGAAGGGATGGAAAAGATTTTTCTATGCAAATGGAAAAGAAAAAAAAAGCTGGGGTAGCAATACTCATATCTGACAAAATAGACTTGAAAATGAAGGCCATCACAAGAGACAACACAGGTCACTACATAATACTAAAGGGATCGATCCAACAAGAAGATATAACCCTGGTAAACATATATGTACCCAATCTAGGAGCACCTAAATATATTTTAAAAACTTCTAGAGGACTTTAACCAGTTAACTGCCACAATATTTTGAATTTAAATAAAATGGTTTGCCACTTGTGTCTATAGACACTTATGGCGTACAAATGGTTAAGGGAGAGACTGACAAAAATACAGTCATAGTAGCGACTTTAACACCCCCCTGACTCCACTGGGTAGATCTTCCAGACCAAAACTTAACAAGGAAACAATGACTCTGAATTGCACACTGGATCAGAATGAATTTAACTGACATTTATGGAACATTTCACCCCAAAGCTACAGAATATAAATTCTTTTCAAGTGCACGTGGGTCATTCAAAAAGACAGGCCACATATCAGGACACAAAACAAGCCTCTAAGTTCAAGAAGATTGAAATCATATCAAGCACCTTCTCAGATCACAGTGGAATGAAATTAGAAATCAACTACAGTAAAAACACCCCAAAACATTCAAACACATGGAGACTAAATAGCATGTTATTAAACAATGAATGGGTTACCAATGAGATCAAGAAAGAAATAAAAAACTTCCTGGAAACCAATAAAAACGAACACACAAGAACCCCAAATCTGGGACACAGCAAAAGCAGTCCTGAGAGGGAAGTTCACAGCACTACAGGCCCACCTCAAAAAATAAGAAAAATCTACAATAAACTATTTAACCTTACGGCTTAAAGAACTAGAAAGAGAACAACAAGAAAAGCCCAGAGTAAATAGAAGAATGGAAATAGTAAAGACTAGAGCAAAAATAAATGACATAGAGACTAAAAAGATCACTACCGCCCTAGCTGATTTGGCTCAATGGAAAGAGCATCAGCCTGCGGACTGAAGGGTCCCAGGTTCGATTCCGGCCAAGGGCACATGCCTGGGTTGCAGGCTCGATCCCCAGTGGGGGGTGTGCAGGAGGCAGCCAATCAATGATTCTCTCTCATCATTGATGTTTCTATCTCTCTCTTCCTCTCCCTTCCTCTCTAAAAATCAATAAAATCTTTTTTTTAAATCACTACCAAAAAATTCAATGAAACCAAGAGCTGGTTCTTTGAGAGGATAAACAAGATTGATAAAGTGTTAGTCAGACTCATCAAGAAACAAAGAAAGGCCGAAACCGGTTTGGCTCAGTGGATAGAGCGTCGGCCTGCAGACTGAAAGGTCCCAGGTTCGATTCCGGTCAAGGGCATGTACCTGGGTTGCAGGCACATCCCCGGTAGGAGATGTGCAGGAGGCAGCTGATAGATGTTTCTCTCTGATAGATGTTTCTAACTCTCTATCTCTCTCCCTTCCTCTCTGTAAAAAATCAATAAAATATATTAAAAAAAAAAGAAACAAAGAAAGAGGACCCAAATAAATAAAATCAGAAACGAAAGTGAAGAATTAACCACTGACACCAAAGAAATACAAAGGATTGTAAGAAAATATTATAAACAATTATATGCCAACAAGCTGCACAATGTGGATGAAATTTACAAATTCCTAGAAAAATACAATCTCCCAAAACTGAATCAGGAGGAATCAGAAAACCTGATTACAACTGAGGGAATAGAAGCAGTAATAAAAAAACTCCCACCAAACAAAAGCCCAGGTCCAGACGGATTCACAGGGGAGTTTGACCAAATATTCAAAGGAGAACTAACACCTACACTCCTCAAACTATTCCAAAAAGTCCAAGAGGGAAGAACACTTCCAAACTCTTTTTATGAGGCCAGCATTATCCTAATTCCAGAACCAGATAAAGACACTACAAAGAAAGAGAATTATAGGCCAATATCCCTGATGAATATAGATCAGCCGTGGGCAAACTACGGCCAGCGGGCCACCGTTTGAAATGAATAAAACTAAAAAAAAAAAAAGACCGTACCCTTTTATGTAATGATGTTTACTTTGTATTTATATTAGTTCACACAAACACTCCATCCATGCTTTTGTTCCGGCCCTCCGGTCCAGTTTAAGAACCCATTGTGACCCTTGAGTCAAAAAGTTTGCCTACCCCTGATATAGATGCTAAAATCCTCAACAAAATATTAGCAAATCGGATCCAGCAATATAT